GGAAAACAGATCGATATTTGCATTAGGATCCCCATACCTGAGTTTTTAAGAGCTGGTTGTGATTCAGTTAGAAACTGTGTGGGGTTCAGGAATGGTGGGATGATGTTGCTATTGAATTCACATTGTTTGTGTGGGCATATGTGTAAGAAGAGAAAGAGAGATTGCTGTGACTGGAGGATTGGAAGGCTCATGAAACAACTTTAAACCAGCTTTAAACTTTAAAACAAAACTTCGTTAGATTGATGTTCGTTAACAGTACACGTGCTAATGGTTGGCTCTTACACATTTGTAGTTATTATGACTACAAATTCAAAGCAATTAGTCTCTAAAAATGTCATTATAAATTGTGAGCACTCAGTACCACAGAGCTGGTGCCACATATTTAGCACTGGTAGCTGTGGCCCTTGATGGGGAGATGTCTGGAGCTGTCACAGGTGCCTTTTCTTGTTGCTTAGCAGTTTTACTCCTCCTTTCCAGCTTTTGCTGCTGTTGAAAGAAATGCAGGGTTTTTTCCAAATCTCAAAGTTGTGCTTTATCAGTGACTAAAAATTGTCCATCACTGAGTTGCTTATGGTTCTAGGGCCTCAGCTTTCAACCTGTGCCTGTATTTTCAAAGCCTTTGTTCTTATGTCTGAGCTGTATGAGATAGCAAGAGACACCTGGTACCCAGCTCTACCTCACACAAGTTCTCCTAGTAATTTCACAGGCATAAAAGGCCAGAGTTTGGGCTTTGCACGTTTGGCGTAGAAGTGCATTTGGCATAAGGCCTGAGGCCTGTTCCAAGCAGTGGCAATGCTGTTTTTACTGAGCCACTTGGTACAAAAACGCATATGCATTGTTCACTAGTCATGCAGGAGAAGTGTGCTTATGTTTGAGTTCATGACAAGCTAATAATTAAATACTACTCAATCTGCTGCTACTTTTTCGGGTGCAACAGCTTCTGCTTTGGCTACAGAAAGTTATGGTTTTAGAACTGTGGAGCAGTCAAAACCTGACTATCCTGAGGGTAGTGCTGGTCCAAGTTAACCCTGAGTAAGTACCATTTCTTATATAGGCACAGATTGGACAGAACATATCAAGCTTTGTATATAAAAAAAACCTTGCTTGATCTCTTGTAGATGATTACAATGAGATGAAATCTGCTTTTTAAAAAGTGAAGAGGAATACATGAATATGTGTCACCAGAACCTGTTCACATTAAGTTTGTACTCTGCTTTTAAGCATTTCAGAAAAAGAAATAAAATAAGAAAAAAAAAAAAGAGTAAAAGCTTAAAATGCTGCGAAACGTGGTTTGCTTCCATGATGTACGGATCACTTTAGTTCTGGAATATTTTCCTGCTATGACTCTAAATAGCAAGAAGGGTTTTTTGTTGTGATAACACAGGCATGGGAATATTTTCCTGATGCGACTCTAAATCGCATGAGGGGTTTTTCCCATAGGCATGGGAATGTTATCCTCTGTAACTAGCAAATTGACCAGCTGTTGAGCAGGTTTCTGTTAAATATTGAATAGAAAAAATGTGGTTTTAATGAAGCTGTTTGAAATACTAGAAAGTACTAAAAAAAATAAAATGCTTATGTGTATGTTAATGGATGTCAGGTTAGCCCTTTTTCAAAGAAATATGCTAATCATTTTTTGTAAGGGTAGAGGCAATTCTGTTTTAAATTGTGGTACATTTATCACAAAGGGCATAACTGGTCTGTTGAGGGGAAAAAAAAAGGCAATAAAACACCCAGGGTGTTGGTTCAGTTGCAGTGAGATTTTGGCTGGTTAGAGTTGAATTTAAGGAAGAACTTAACAAAGCTGTTCTTTATTAAAGGTTTTCTTGCCTAGTGTATATCTTTTCACTTTCCCCCTGTTTTTCCACACTTGGCATGAAGTTCTGATACATTAGCTACTCTCTGTAAATCAGGAGGAATTACCTTCCTAGCGGTTTCATAAACAGCTTCACAACTGTGACATACCCAGTTTCCAGAGGGGTGTTGAAATTATTTCAAGAATTGTCTAAGAGTGAGACCACGTCATCCCAAAACTCCCCCCCCAAAAAAAGCGCCTGTCATTCTTTACGTGTTATACAAATACACGTTTCCATGTTTCTTTTAGATGTGGTTCCAGTTGTGCATTTTGGAGACTAGACTAGGAACAGGCCGTCATGGTTAACAGGATCAGCTCCTCTGAGAACATTTATAAGGCAAGGGGGAGAAGAAGGGAAATATCCTACCACCCTAAGTTTGGGAAGGGCTTACTTGTTATGGGCAAAGAGAAAACTCATCAGCAAGGACTGCCAAAGTCTGAGAGTGACTACAGCAGACACGTGTGTGTTAATTGTTTCACCCATTGCTCACTTCAGGTATTAATTTGCTGTCAAAACAGAAGTACCATAGAGGCATTTCAGTGCTGCTCTCTTCATGCATTCCACTTTGATATCTTCCGACCACTGTCCACTTATATACCAAATAAAGAGTCATTATACGTATGTAGTAATCATTAACCGTGGAATAGTTGTGTTGCAGTCCTTAACATCTGTCAAATCTAAGATTAAACACATCCTGAGGTCAGTGTGTGCGTGCACCCAGCTATGGAAGTGGTGGGAAGCACAGAGGTTCTCCACCTGTGCGCTTTCCAAACCCCCTTGGCCACCAGCAGTGCTGTAAAGTGAATTAGTTAAGTACATGTTGGGCACTCATCAAGTTGCTACCCACTGGGATTGCTTAAATGGCAGTAAAAATAGGGCTGGTTTGTGGTGCTTGGGGTTTTTATGGGGTTTTGGGGTTCTTTTTGCTTTTAGCACTTGAATAGTGGAGGCCATTTTTCCATCTGTCAGTGAATTTTAATCCTTTCTTGTAGGAAAATTAGATATTTGCTGTCTGCCTTCTTGCGGTTCTTGAGTGGATTTAAGGCTTTTTTCCATTGATAGAGTAGAAAACAGGACAGCTGGATTTAAGTAGATCTTTCTCCTATGTTAGACATACACATTTTTTGTAATCATCCTTGTTTCTGTTCTAGAAATTTAAAAAAATACTGTGAAATACTTGCCATTTTTATTGCTCTTTTTAATGATAATTATGTTCTCTGGGGTTTTTTTACGAAATAACTACTCATAAAAAATCATTAGCACTTGTTTGTTAAAACGTGGTGGTGATGGGTTTACTTTCTTATTCAGTGTTTTCCACTTCACAAACAACTGGTAATTGGGGAAGAAATACTGACTGTTGTAACCACAGATAGTGTTGCTGTAGAGGACATTGTCAGTTCTTATTGGAAATTAAGTCACTGAGGGAGATAATTTTGAATATTTCAGATGTCTTTTTAAAGTTGTGATGTTGTTTTAAACTATGGAATTTTCTAGATTTTCTCACACCACGTATTGCAAGAGAATAGCAAAACATCCAGGTTTTAATGAAATAACAATACTCGACTTTTTTTTAGTCAGTCCAAGAGTGTCCCAAGGCTGTAGTTAAATAAACTGAAAGAAGTGAAACCTCCCTCTGCCATTTCTTGGGAAATTAACTTTAATTTATTGAGAGCAGCATTAAAAAGAGTCCTTCATTTTCTCTGTTGAGACCATTCATTTTCTTTATTGAGATATTTTAAGTGTAGAAAAAGTCAACTTCAGGGCTTTATAATCTTTTTCAGTGTGCTTGCAGTTCATTTTTCTGCATCATTCTTAACAAAAGATGCCTACAAATTATTCTTTTAGCAGCACAGATTTGTGGTACAGTCACTCCCTTGTCTTTTCGTTTACTCTGCAATGCACGTTCACTGCTACCATCAATAATAATCAATAATGCTAAATGCACACAAAGAGATTTTGGAAGATAAGAGGTCCAAAGGTACTTCTGCCCCTCTGCAGAGCTGCTGCTTCAGCTGAAAACAGGAGATCTAGAGGGAATTTGAAAAACCTGCTCACAGGCATCTGTGTAATTATCCTATTAAAACCCAGGAACATCTGCATTATCTGGGCGAGTGCAGAATGGAAGGGAACGTTGTGTTTTCTAATCTTGTCTGGGAGCATGATGAAGTTAAAAGGATAACATTTTACCCAATCTGTGTTTTAACATGATAGGTTACACTTAATTACCTTTGAATTACCTTTCCTCTCGTCTGGTTTTATGCTAAGGACCCTGCCTCTACCCCTCATCACAGAGCTTTTCTTGCCTTTGAATTGTTTATGCCAGGTTTTATCTTTGATTTTACCATGAAAAGATGGTCCTACTGTGTCTTGAAAGCCGCTATTATGATTCTTTTTCCCTAGTGTGTGAAAAGCTCTGAGAATATTAATTTTATATACAAAAGACATATTGTAGTGTTCAGAAGTATGTGTTTTTAATTTAGTTGCAAAGAGCAAGCTCAGTGGACTATATGTTATGAATAAGGAGTAACGATGCATGGCATAGGCCACACAGGAGCAAGAGGAGATTATTCCAGCCTGCTGACTGCCTGCGGTGTAAGCCAGGAGAGTGCATTGGCTTAAATAATGCAGATTTCTTACTTTCCTCTTTACCCCTGAGGGAGTCTGATTTCCTGATCACCTATCTTGCCATATGCCATAGCTCTTGCCAGGAACTCCGAGCTGTGCCACTGCCAGCTAAAATTACTTGTTTTCTGACCACTGAACTATGTTGAGAATTGTCTTAAACTGCCACACCAGCAACATCACCAAGTATTGTGTGTACGAACACACAAATATGCAAAAGCAGCCTTGCCTTGACATTCAGCTTAGAAACGGTTTCGGACGTTGAATCTGATCCAGGTACTGCAAGGTGTCCTACACCTGCTCGGTCACATCGCTCCCTCTTTGTTCTCTTTCCAGTGCTGTTCTCAGCCCCTTTGTGTGCCAGCTGGTACAGCACGGTGTTGATAAGTGGAAATTAAACATTTACAAAGAAAGCATATTGTCTGCTCCTATTTTGTACCCGTTAAAGTGAAGACCTAGTATAGCTAGGAAAAACTTCTGGTATGTTGTGGTAACTCTGCTTCTTTTCTTTCTTCTTGCCACAGGATGGAACTAAAATACAGATATTTGTTGACTAAGGAGTTGGAGTAAGACTGAGTCTCGCTCTGTGATATGTATATACCTGGACCATGAACTTGCTGTTTGGCTTCGTGCTTTAGGATCCTGTGTAGTAACTGTGTGAAGCCGTTGGGAATCATGGCATTCTCTCCATGGAAGCTGTCCTCTCAGAAACTCGGCTTTTTTCTGGTGACTTTTGGGTTCATTTGGGGAATGATGCTTCTGCATTTTACTATTCAGCAGCAAACGCAACATGAAAGCAGTACAGTCCTGCGTGAGCAAATTTTGGATCTTAGCAAAAGATACATCAAAGCATTAGCAGAAGAAAATAAAAATGTGGTTGATGGTCCTTATGTTGGGACAGTGACAGCATATGGTAAGTGTGTGCTCTAGTTTACCTGATAATCTGATTAAGGTTTTTTCCAAGTTGTCCAGGCATTTTACTTGATAATGCTGCTCAACTGACAGTGCTTTGCACTGTGGACTTTCTGCACAGATGGAGAAAACAGTTTTCACTTGTAAGTATGAAATGGGACAAATTTCACATTTCCAGTCCCTTTATTTTCCCTTGGAAATAAAGTTGTCTGCTGTTTTTTTACTACATGTGTCTAGTAGTTACATCTAGTATGTCTCAGCTTATTTGCTAGTACTTCATTTTTTTTAAAAAAAACAACACTTTTTTTGTTGTTTTTAAGAAACTTGGGGAGGTTTTCCAGTTTGTGTGCCAGTGATCTAAGAAATTCCTTCTGGAAGAAGAAATTGCCTTGCTGATAAAGTGTAGACTTGCTGTGTTTATTTCTTCTTCTTTTCCATTTCACTTCTCTGTTCAGCCAATTTACTTAATGTTTAAGTTTATGTATAAGATTAACTTAAGCTCCTGTCAATCATATTCGCCTCAGGGTAGAGAACTCTTTATGTGAGTAAAAGTTTGGCAGCAAGTTTTAATGCTTACTCTCTCCCATTTTGTACAATGTGAGAGTTAAGTTTATGTGCATGTGTGAGAGCAAGCAAGCAGAAAATAATGAAGCATATTACCAGAAAATATTATGAAAATAAAAATCCAATTTCAGGTTAGATGTGGTCCCTTTTTCAATTTGGTAAGATCACATCATACACCTTACTTGTTTAGCATTTTTTAAACTCACTTTCTTCTCTACTTACCTATGTACTACAGGCTATCTGGAGAATTAGTGGTTAATTAGTCATCTAGATTTGTTTTCTGTTATAGTTGCCTTAATAATCAGCTCAGAAGAAATTAGATAGAGGTCTTTTGTATGCTTAGTCATAGAATAAAGACTAGGATGCAACAGATGATAGCTGCCGCTTTTTCTCTAGTTTTTCTTTAATCCTCTCTACTCTTTGGTGCACATAATGAAACCAGCCTGCTGGGAGGTTCTCTCCATGTCTTGTTTCTGTTACCACTTTTTTCCTCTAGAAGAAGAAGTTTTTTGAGTTCATGTGAAGGTACTTCCCTGTAAGTCTGATTATTAACCCAAACATAGCTAAGAATTACATTGCTTTGTTGGTTAAGCCATCCTAATTCTGTAACTTCTGCTGATTTGTGACTGTATGTTGAACTATAAGGGTATTGTAAGATTATAAATCAACAGGAGCTAAATAGAGTGGTACTGGATGAATACTCCAAGCAAACAGAGGTCCCTAGAGAATTGTGTCCATAGACTTAAAAGAAAATCCTCTCTGCTCTATAGCTATCATCAGTGTCCCATTATCTTGTAAGGGTGCTTGATGGTAGGGGAATTGAAAAAGAAAAACAAACAAAAAAAACCCCAAACAACAAGATGTCTCCAGAAATTGAAGGGTAACTGCATTAGTGTGTGCCCTAGGTAGGCCTGAGAGTGCAGGATATCCTTAGGCTGGGTTTCCCTGCAGCTTGTTGCCCATGACATTCATTTCCTGTTCCTAATCCCGCTGAGCAGTACATTGACGTGCTGCCAAATGGTGGTCAAGCTCCCCAGGAGGACTTAAACTGCATTTGAAAGTGGGTGAAGTAACTTTGTAATGCCTCTGTGAAGGCAAAGCTAAGTGTTGGGTAGGAGTTTCGAGTTCCGTGGCTAAGAGGAATTTTAAGTGTAAAGACAAGTTTGGACAGGCGTTTTTAATTTGGAAGGATGCAAAACAATAGTAACGTATTTATTTAAAATACTGAAAGGAAAGGACCTATGGTGAGCGAATAACAACATCAAATTAAATAATAATTTCTAAAACTGAGTGTGGTAATTACTTATTAAGTAAATCAGTTTGTCCTGTTTGACTTACCAAATGATTTGTTGCCAGCAGATGATCAGTTAGCTGTTCAGGAATAAACACATGAATGACTAATGGTCATGAGAGTTGGTAGAAGTTTGTTCACTATTCTATGAAAATTAATGCCCTTGCTATTTAGCATTTTTATTTTTTTAAAACTTATCCTCTGATTGCTATTAGCAAGCACAGTCATGATTTCCATGTTCAAGAATAAGTTTTAAGTTTGCTTGATTTGGCTGCTATTACCCACCCAAAATGTTTTCAGTCATTCCCTAATTGTGATTGCACAGCTTGTTTCCTTGCTTACTTTTTCTTTCTACCATATATTCACCTCTCAGGCAGGTGGATCAAACACTTTCCTATGAAAAGCTGTAGTGCAAATATACACAGTAAGTACTAGATTTTTATAGCAGTAAACAACTGTTTTACAAAATTATGAATCTATTCTGGCCTCCCCTTCTCAAACTAGTCTCCAGTTGCTTTTTTGTTCTGGTAAGCACTCATATCAGTGTTTTGGTATCAGTATTTAAAAATCACAATGTTTAACCATTTTCTCTTTATGATCCATGTATGCCTTTATGTACGCTATGTTATTCTTCGTTTACTGAATTTATTTTACTACTTTTTTCCCTAGATATTTTCCTCCCTCTGTTCCATGGTTTTGTCCATGTTAAATCCCTCCTTGACTCTTTCCTTTTCTTCAACACGCTATACCATTAAGTGACCCCTTTTAAAATAGTCCAGATCTATGGTGCTTACGATTCCATCTTCTGATCTCTGAAGGACAAACAAAAACACACAGTTAGAAAGAAAAAGATCTACTTTATGGCTCCATGGAATAAAGAGAATTCCTTTTTTATTTGGAAAAAAGAATCATACATTTTGTAAAACTGATAGCCTCTTCTTATATACTCTTATTTGCACAAGAATTGGGCTAGTCATGGGGAAAAAAGGGAGCACAAAATAAGTATGGCAAAAATGCAACTGATACAGGGGCAGACGAGTCTCTTCAGATGTATGGAGAAATTTTCTATTACAGATCAGAAAGTTATTTGATTCTAAAGTCATGAAAAGCAGAAAATGTATCTTACATATGCACAGATAATTATTTTATGTAATTAAATGGGAAAATAATGTAAATTCTTCATAGTAAATTCTTTAATCCTGAGACAAGGGTAAATGAACAAAGAACAATACTTTCTGTCATCTTCTTTGGCTTGTTGCCACTCTAATTACACAGTTTAGTCTGATCGAGGTCTGGTTTTCCCCTGTTGCCCACAGTTCCTATAGCTTGCCCAACTGTCTTCGTTACTTCAAGAAATCCAAACAAAAGAAAAGGGAAAGAAAGAAAAATTGGCTAACTCTTTTAGGCTGTCATTTGATACGCAAACTCCTGGTACTGCGTGTTGCTTCCAGATAGATAGGTAGAGGCAATCACCAACAGACTGAAGAAAAGAAACAGGTGGTTTATGGTGTTTTGTGTGTATGACAAAGGCTGAACTGAACATTTTTTTTGCCAGTGCAGAACCTGATTGTGGTGGAGGAGATGCAGGAGAAGGTTTTTGTACTAGCTCAAAGCTGTCCCTTTTGGGAAGGGGGTTTTTGTTTCCAGGTGACCGAGCCTCTAACAGACGGTTCCTCTAATAGTGCTTGAGTGTGGATCTGGGTTTAGATTCATTAAAATTTAAGCAGCTTATTACTCTAGCTTTTAAAAAGCATGTGTTTTTTTTTTCTCCCTGTGTGTGTACCCATAAAGACACACACTTCACCTTGAAGATAGGATATGTATATGAGTTGCAGAATGCTCTACAAAATACACAGCAAGGCGCGTTCCACGTCCAGGGAAACTTGTATCTGAGGCTGAACCAAGTAGGGAACGTTAGTGCATAGAATTGCTAATGACAAAGATTTGCACTGAGAAAGTGGCTATATATATTCCAGTCTCATTCTTGTGTCTATTTTTTGATTCTGTCTGACAGCATGTATTGCGTTATTAAGCAATTCAACTTTTCTTTTTCACGTGTAGATTTGAAGAAGACACTTGCTGTCTTGTTGGATAATATCTTACAGCGCATTGGGAAGCTAGAGTCCAAGGTGGAAAATCTTGTACTTAATGGAACAGGAGCAAACTCTACCAACAATACTACCACTCCTGCTCCCAGCTTAGGAACAGTTGAAAAGCTCAATGTAGCAGGTGGGTATGACAATCGTTTAAAATATTTATGGGCTGTTTAATCTGTACTTTTTTTCTCTTGGCCATAAAATGATTTTTCACTGCTAGATACTTGGAATGTCTTAGGAATCAAAATTCAAAGTCTAGCCAGTATCAATGGCAGTCAATTAAACACGTTAAAGAAAATCAAATTCTCTGCCAAAGGGGTGTAGTCCACCTTGTCCATAGTTAATGTTTCATACATTAAATGATTGCACTTTAGAACAATGAAATTGGGCAGATGTTTTCTCTCTAAACCTAAGTGCTTGGGTTGATATGAATCTGCTCTGCATTTCTACCTAATGCAATTTATTGGTTATTAACTGAAAGAAAACATTTATTATGTTTATTACTGGTTATGGTTTTAAAATGTCCTTCCTACTCTGCTTAATAGTTCTTATGGTTTGACATACAGAGAGAACATACCTGGAATCTTCAGCTTTAATAAATATGTCTTTCAAAACATCAGTTGAAGTCATTAATTTTGTCTTCAGTGAATGGACTGTTTGCTACCCTTACAATTTCCCAAACCATTTGAGTCATGCTGTGGTGGCAGAATATCTTGCTGGCCTGTTCACTTCCATGTCTCTGCTCCTTCAGTGTTCCCAGCTGTGAATGTGGTTGATACACTGATTAAGTCTTGTTTATACTCCCTGATTTATTGCCCTTCATTTTGCTCTGCCTCAAGTCTGAAGACATGCTGGCTGTCCTGACCCATAGGAAGGTCTGAGTTTGCCCTGATGATGATCTTTGCAGCCCTAAAAAGGGAGCAGAGCAGAAGAGTTAGGGCAACTGTGCTTGGGTTTCCTGTAAAAATAAATACTTCTGTTGAGAGGGTGTCACCTTCTTAGATTTGTCAAAATGGAGAAGCAGATGCTACCTGTGGTAGGGTAATGCCACTGAAAGGAAGTCTGGGAGAGTGGAGGTATAAGTGGTGACCTGACCATAGTCTACCAGCAGAACTGCTGCCTCAGCTGCTTTGGCCCCACTGCATTAGTCTGTAGCAGAACGCTAAAGGCATACATATTATCTCTTGGTGAGACAGACTTTTGTGCCTCTCTTGCTACATAGTAAAAACATGCTTATAGGCATTTACAACAGCTGTTTGCATATGTGGTGTACTACTGATGACCTTGTGGTACCTTTTTTCCCCCTCCTGTGTCTTTCATCTTTGTTAGACTGAAGGCAAATTAGAAACAAGTCACTGAAGAGGTATAGCACCTGTAGACTACAAACAGGGTGAGCCATGTTGCTGCCACAAGGAATACAACACAAGATCTTCATTAGAAGATCTTCCACTTTGATGGAAAGTGAGCTAGTACAGTATTATTTTAGTTTCTGGGCTATGTATAAAATGAAAAACATCCCTGTGTATTTTCTTTCTGTAGCTAGACAAAAGAGAGGCTTGATGCTGTTATTTCAATGGATTTGCAGACAATTGGAAGAAGCATACTCGGGATGTTGCTTATACATTTATAAGCAAAGGGTCATTGTTCTTATCTGACTAGGAAATGTCTCTCAACAGTTCTGAGGGTGAATTGAATTTTGTTTGTTATTCTTGGAGCTTGCTAGATTCACAATTTTAGTACACACGAGGAACATCTAAGGAGCTTGGTAGGAGTTTTCAGTTTGTGGTGTTTACGTAGCTATTTGCTGCCTGAGTTTTGCTCTGTGGTGAAGAACACTATTTGTCGTCTTAAAGCTTCAGGTTTTTTTACCTTTGACTCTTGGTACACTAAGTTTGAAATACCTGAATTTTAAACAACAACAACAGAAAAACCTTTAGGAAACAACTTCTTAAGGTTTGTTTAATGTGGTGGTGTTCTGGTACCTGTTTAGATAATGTTACTCTTCAGATATCTCCAGGCTGAACAGCACCGATGGGTTAAAGTGCCCGCTGTTCATGCATTTGAAGCAATTGGTGGAAATTCATCTGATCAGAGGCAGGCAAATAGAAATGAAAAACTCGTTTCTACATCTGTCTTCATAGCAGTTTCCTGACAGCAGCAAACTCTGGAAGCCATAGAATTCCAGTAGAATCATAATATAAGTATCTTCTCTGTTAGGAAGGAATTGTTCAGAAAATAAGCTAGGTAAGTAAACATTGTGATTACAATACCAGCTACAGCGTTGGTTTTTGCTGTAATATTTCAACAGCATCCTTTGGCATTGTGCTAGAACAATTGAGATAATCTGAAAAATGTTGTAGAGAAGGCATTTTGTTACCAAACAGTTTGCATTTTACTGGAGCTGTAACATGTATGTATACAAATACACATGATGTTTCAATTGTTTTCTTTACAATAGTTTGTTCAGCTGTTACACTATGAAATGATCACAGAAAGCAAACACTTTGGGATTACTCTTTCTCTCTTTATCAGCTTTAATATTTTAATTATGACTGTAGACAAATTCATGTTAGCTATTTTTAGTGATTTCACTCGGTCTGGACAACCATAGTATTTATGAAGCATCCTAACAACATGTTTAGTATTTTTAGTAATGTTTTTTAAAGATTTTTTTAAAAAATCTTTTTTAAGACTTCTTGAGTTTGAGTTTGGGGTTTTTTGCAAATCTTTTTTCCCTCAGTATTTATGGAGCATCCTAACAACATGTTTAGTACTTTTAGTAATGTTTTTTAAAGACTTTTTAAAAAATCTTTTTTAAGACTTCTTGAGTTTGAGTTTGGGGTTTTTTGCAAATCTTTTTTCCCTCAGAGTTTCTGCTTAGAGCTCTGAAGTAAGTTAAGCCTTTTGTAGCCTCATTCGTCAGTGCAACAGTGCAGTGTCATAAGCAGACTTTCCTAGAAGAGTCTTCCTTCCAGTGGAGCTACTTCATGTATTTATTGTGAGCTGTCACAGTCCACTGAGACCTGATTCTACAATCTGTATAACCATGTCCCTTTACCTATGGAAAGCCTTTCTGAAATAAATGAAGCTTCATGCAGGCCTAAGCTGCACCTTAGCATCTGTTGGCACTGCTTGTAAACCTCGGTGGTAAATAGTGGAGTCGTTAATAATCCTGAAATCTGGCTTTTGTCACCACTGACCTTGTGTAAAGCTTACTGTGTTTTATATGCTACCTGAGCAGATACAAGTGATAAGTAATAAGATATAACAGAATGACAGGAAGGTGATTATACTGTAAATACTTGTCGTCATTGCTGATTGTGACTGGACGCAAACTCAAAATCAACACATAATATTTTTCTTGTAATTTAAAACTTGACTACCATGCAAAGCTGGACTTGTCAATCTGAGTGTGCTGTGGGCTTTTCTTCATTGTGTATTTGAAGTATTAGTAACACTTCCATGGAAAAAAAGATCGTAATCTCTTATCTGGAAACTAGGAGGAGCAGAGATGATGATGATTCATGAACATTGCTCCTCCCAAAGCCTCTCTGCAAGTGAAATTTTCTTTCATTGGGTGCATTGCTGTATTCAGAAAGCAGTCCCAAGAACAATATCCGTATGCTACAGGTAGAAGATGGTGATAATGCGAGAATCCTGGTTTAGTTTCAGGGTCAAGCTACTGAAATCAGTCCAGGTTATGGTTTTTATCTGACTTTATTAAACACAACCGGTGTGTGACCATGACTCAGATTTATGGATTGCAAAATTCTTTTCTGTGAGATTAAGGACACTGGCAAGTGGACCTGATACGGATTTTTATAAAAAAATTTCCACTCCTCTCCACCTTTTCTATATAGACAACTAGAATAACAGTCTAATTGTAGTAATATTGTAGGAATATTTGTAGTATTAGAATGTATGGATGTTCGTCAGATCATTCATACATTGTTTTTAGCTTAGCTCAGATAGGAGTTTGAATGTGACTATGCCAGTAATCCAGCTAACAGTGAAGAGAATGTGTTGAGAAATGGTTGTCAGGTGCAGAGTGGTTGAAAAATCAATTAGTTGAAAACGGTGATATTTCTCAATGAACAATTTTTGCCCAGTATATATCTTGATGGCAAAATGTCCATTAGTCCAGGAAATTTATTTATAGTTAATAAACTTGTAAGGTCACTCCTAATGCTCTATGGCTGAATTAAAACCACCTTCAGTTACCTAAGTCCCCTGACATTGTAACATGTAATCTATCATCCTTATTGCTAATGAAGAAAAAAAAAAATCTACGTAATTTTTGATACTTTAACATTTTTTTTTGAGAATATCCAAACTTTAAGAGTGGTCACTGCAGCTGCCTGGGCAAAAGAGTTTGAGTAGTTCATGTTCCCCTAAGGAACAGATCTGCTCTGTGCAAGTGGGCAGCAGTTCCCTGTAACTCAATGCCAGTGTTAATATAATAAAGGAATACACAGCCCGTGCAGCCTTACAGGTGTAAAAGTAGATGAAGAATTTCCTCTGAACCATATGGATAAGACCTAATAATAATGAGTTTTGTAGCTCCTTTTAAAACTGCAAATGACATCCTGACTGTATACAAACAGCAGTTGAAGGACTCACAAAACTTAGGAAACTTTTCTATCAGCAACTTCTGTAGGTTTTCCTGGTGAATAAATGATAGCATCAGTAGTAGAAAGATGAAGTAGGACAGTTTCTTGAGGAAAGAAAAAATATTAGGGAAGTATCTTGCTATCCAAGAGGTTTTTTTTTCAAAGAAGTGTTTAAAAAAAAAAAAAAAGAATGCGGTCTGACCGTGGCAAGTGTTAGGCAATGTGAGCTGCAAAGTCTGGGGAGGTCCAGACAAGTGTTGAACCGGGAGGTATTATTACCTGGAGTATTATGCTAAGATAATCCATTAAAAATTAATTCATGAAGGGATGAGCAATACCTCATTTGAAAGAGTCTGTCAGCAAAGGAAGAAGGATGCGCTGGCGTGGGAAATTATCAAACAGTGCTGCAGTTTAGAAAAAACATCTATCTTTATTTTAGGTTTATTAATACAGACAGAAGTTGAGTCATCTCTGGCCAAGCAGTAGCCATTATGGCTATTTATGCCTTGTAACAGCCTAACAG